GCAGCCTAAAAAGTTGTTCTCAAGCAGGACATGCCACCTTCAGGTCTGAGATCAGCGTAATAGCCCCTTTCTGAATTCTCACCTTATTCTAGCTCATATCTGTAGTTCAACATTCATATATCAAATCTACTCCAGACACTTTCTAGTAATAAAAATTAGCATTTACCAGCACTTTTGGAACTGCACCTCACCCTCCAATAGCCTGAATCTCTTCTTCCCTTTCCTCTATTCTTCCCAGCTGCTGAAGTCACTGACCCAAGTGCTGGTGGGTACCTGCATCAGTCCTTAGCTTAGCCTGGTAGCACCTTTTGAATCTTTGGCTTACTCTGAACTGTATCCATATCCCATGCACTGCCTTGCACTATTTTACAACAGCACTTCCTTTCCTTACTTCATCTGTCAGCACCTTGCAGGGATTAAAAGATGCATCTGAACATTTTAATGTCTGCTGATGCAGCCTCAACCTTTCCACTAGAATTAGCACTTTTTGACCCACCACCTAAAAGTCAAATAGAATATTAATAAACCTATCTAAATTATTTTCTACCTTAAAAGAACTGTGTTTTATTATGGGGGGATAAGGGAAATTAAGCTCTCTTTTATTTGAGCATCCTACAGAACACTGACATATTGCTCTGCCACTTTCAAACAGGAACACCATTTCAACCTGCTCCGTTCTGCTGCTTTTCTTGACATCAACTAAAATTATTCCTGTAAAAGAGAGAGCATATGCTGTCACATCTGAAAATACTGTGAGCATTGGCCAGCACTGTGACAGCTGAAATTCAGTAGAGACATTTGGAGACATTTGCCAAGGAATAAGTCTTAAAGCCTTTCCTTGATTTCCTGAAAGATACTTATAATTGCATCAGCAGGCATACTGCTCCTAAAGCTTGCAGTCACAGGCTGGTCTGACTTTTGGAACCATCTAACACCTTACCACAGTTCTGAGTGCAAGTGCCTGTGCTTATCAATTGTAGTCAGTCCTTGAAATGCACAGGATGAATTTTCTTCCCAGTAATTCCCCTTCCTCTCCTCCACTATCCTTAGAGTACAGATGTGAAGATGACGTGTATTGTCAGTACTTTCTCAGTTTAAGGGTGGCCCCTCTTGTTCCCATACCAAATTCTAATTCTCTATAAATTTGAAGAAGTGGGACAGGCTGAGCCTCCAGTAACCTAAACATGATTAATGATTGTGTGGTTTCATCATGGTTCAATTTTAATATAAAAAATATCCTAGATTTGGACTTACTTTATAGATTAGGCAAGAATCTTACAGATTTACATGACTACATGGCTACTGGTGAAGTTTTGCTACCATGACATTTTAGAACCTGCCACTTTGAATGGTTATAAAATGCATATATTATAATTTTTTTAAATGCTGAGTATAAATTTCACCCCAAATATAAATTAACTATCATATCTGGTATGAAAATATCTAGATAGCTGAAGAATAAACAGAAGATAAAATGAAACCTGAATTTAAGTAAAACTCTCTTGTAATACATATCTTTCTATTATGACGTGAAAAAAAGGTTGACATGATGGTGTTTTAAAATCAGAAGCACTGACATTGCATTACAAATTATTCTCTGTCTCTTTGTATTTTATATTCATATAGTCTTAAGCATTTGTGATTTCTCATCTCCAGGCATCCTTAAGTATGCTTGAGAACCAGAATCAATGCAAACTCAGAAGTCTTCTTGAACTTTAGGATGAAGGCCACTATGAATTCACTTGGAAATTCCATTAAATTCCTCATGCACATTCTCTACTGTCATTTCAGCACATTTATGATAAGAATGTGGAACTGCCTGCTTTGAGTAACTCTTCTACCTGCTATCTACTGGCTTGCCTGTCTCTGTTAATAGTGCTTTGGATTTCAGAGGATAACACAGTCTGGAATGAAACTATCTCGGGTTTAAAAAAATTATTCTCAGACATTAATTTTAAATATGAAGCAGAAATATCTGTGTTTAGCTAAAAAATGATTAATGGGATTGGATTTAATGTGCTAATTTAACATATTACAGTGATTTTATAAGCTGTGGATCTTCTTTCCAGAACACCTTGTTTCTATTTCATGATAAAAACATCCCCTCTGTCATTTATCTGGATGTGAACACTCTGTGAAGATAAATTACATGCCAGAAGTTTCCATATACCGTCACCCCCCTCACCTTCTGATATAGAAAGCTCTCTTATAACTAAATTAACAGAAAGAGTTTAACATTTTAATAAAATAATGCAGGAACCTGGTTTTATGGGATTATGCTGAGCACTATAATGAACCAGAGGATCCCAAGTATGCATTTCATACTCAACAAGATAACTGAACAATCACTTTCAAAAAAGGAATTCTACTGTTTGTTATTTAGAGTAACCATTTTAAAGCACTTACCTGATTCAGGGTTATAAAACCCTAATAAAATCAGTATGGTTTAACGTGAGTTAATCAGTTAATTTCAGAGGTTATTATAAACTAAGGGATATAGATAAGCATCCAGTGGGATCTTCTAAATATCTAACTGTCCGTGTTTGATACCTGTTGATATTTTGTCTCCATGTAGGGCAAAAAAGGAAGGAAAAAGATCACTAGGTCAGTTATATCTCAGAAACATCACCCTATCTCAGCATAATTATATTAGCTAAAATAAAAGAATACAACTTGAAACGCAGGAATATATGTGACACTAAAATAGAAAAGTAAATTAATTCCTGCAATTAATTACACACAATCTAGATGTGTGCAAAGGATCAGGATATATGACATGATACTGGTATCTTATCCCATCACACACCATGTGGTCTAAGAAGCCAGCACAAGTATTAGTCCTTTGACCTTATTCCCTAACATGAATTTTTTTCAGGGCAAAGTAAATATCAGTCTTGAAGACACTGAAATGTAACAGCTGCAGGTTACGCAGGTAACACTCAAACTATACACTCAGGCATTACAGTTTAAACTTTAAAATAACTCAGTCAACCTGATTAGACTATGCTCCATCATGTGCATAAACCCAGAACATCTAACAGATATTTCTGAGTTAAAAATGCTGTCTCTAATGATTTGACACCGATGTTTCATAAGGCTTCTTGGCTGCCAGCAATCACATCCATCTGTTATGTTGGCAGCACACTCAATCACAAGGTGTGCTGGATCTCTTCATTTTAGGCACCATTGCCAGAGGAATACAAAAACCTTTGAACTGAGTGCGAATGAATTCAGAAAGTACCAGTTAAAAACTACCTGAATGGGACAACAAACCTTGAGCAGAAGATGAAGAACAGAGGAAAGAATTTAATAATTCTAACAGTGGTCATATCATTGCTTGAAGAAGTAAGTAAACATTGAGAAGAGTCATTGCTATCCAACAATCATACTAAAGACTTCCCAAGAGACACATACTGGAAATAACAGCACTATCTTCTGTTTCTTCCACAGAGCTTAAAGACCACTTCTTGACTTCTCTCTCATACATGTGCATATCTAACTATACATACATATAATATCAATGCACATGCGTGTACTAAACATACACACATGCATAGCCTATATTAATAGTGTGCACAAATATATAGCAACAAGACATGCATAAAATATAAATACATAGATAATTTTTACTGACAAGCCCTCTGTGATTCATGACAACTACAAGGAGCAAAATCTACTTGCTATAAGGTCTTCTGTTTATTCCATGAGAGAGGTAGTCACTCAATGCTTCTGCATAGCAAAATACATTTTCCTGCACAGTTAAAAGAGAAAAAAGCCACAAAACAGTGTGGCTAATCCATTAAGAGAAGTTCTGTATGTTCCAGAAAACTTCAGCAGCTCCAACCTTTCTTCTTCTATGAAGGAGAATTAGGAAGAGGTCTTCACTTGGGCAAGAGTTTTTCCTGCCATCATTTTCATGCTAGCCACCAATATATTGATTCAGAAATATTTAAGCAGGGAAATCTCACTGGAATTTCTGTTTGTTTGGGGTTTTTTCTCTGCAACTATCAAGAGACGCTTAAATCAATTTATCAGCTATAAAATCAGGTATCAGCATGTGAAGTAACTTTCAGATGAACGCATTTCCCTTTATTCCACTACACAAATTCAGCCCTGTTATTCCTCAAGGCCTCAGTAAAACACTCTGTGACACACAATTTTGAAAAAAAAGTTCCTAAATTTTAGTTTGATGGTTTTAGTTTGATTTTTTTCATTTCTTCCTCTGCACTGGCTGCCCAAAAAACCACTGAATTCACAGGAACAAAGCTCAGTATTTTAACATTCACTTCCAGATAGTTGGGTTTTGCTTTCCTAGAGCCGTGGTGACTGTGCATATCAGGAGAGCAGAGGCGCATTTTACAGCCCCTGCATTCAGTTCAGCTGTCGCCAAGAGCTGAGCCCTGTGGGAAGGATCCTGCTCTGGCAGCAGCGTTTCTCTCTCAGCTGTTTGGCCCAGGGCTGCACCAAGGAGCACCCTCACTGCCAGCCAGTTACAGTCTCCAGTGAGAACTGATCTGATTTTGGCAAGAATGGGCTTTATACCTTTGCCAGATGTGACCAGAATAGATGAAGCCAGTCAGGTCCCTACAGAGCCAATGCCTAAAGTGCCACTCAATAGTGCATAACTGCAACCAGAGCAGCAATGGGATATCCTGATACTACCTTGTCAAGCAGTAGGAGGTTTCTTAGCAATCAAAAGTGCTTCATTATATTGTTTGATGAAACAACTACAACATATAGCATTAGATGTCACAAAGTGGCACCAAAATGTGAGAATGCTGATCAAACAAAAAAAAAAAAAATTAAGGTCCACGCTAGAATGGAATATTTTAGCTGAAGTAATGAAACAGTAGTAACTATTTCATTTGTAATATTATTTTTGTAAGAGTAATTATTTGAGGTTTCAAGCAATGCTACTTTGTTATTTCTACTTATCTGAGGAGTGTGCCACAGAATCTTCACACAAGAAGCTCAGTGTATGAAAGTTTCAGTTTACTCACCACAGAACAGCTCCATCTATAATTCTGCTGGCTTGTTGATCTCTGTGAACTTCAAATTATATGGTTCTCTTCTTGGTCTGGAGGAAGATAAAACAATTCTCCTTTTGTAAACATATTCATGAATTTTGCACACAAAAATACGAACACAGTCTGCAAGTACTTTAAGAAACAACATAGTGAATCAAAATTGAATTCCGAGCCTGACTCCATCACTTTGACTACTGAACCAGGATTTTCCAGCAAAAAGATTGTTTTACAAATATTTTACATTAATGCCAGTGTGAAATTTAGTCAGTGTATGGTTGTACAGTAAGACTCTGTAACTTTGAAAACTTAACCATGTTCTTTTGTGGTGTGATAGTGAGCAATGAGGATTGATAGTAACTCAGAGTGACATCCAATTTCCTCAGATTTTAGACCTTGCACCTGTCACATGCAGGATCACCAAGTTTTTTTTGTGTTTTATTTTTTTAAAATTGTTTTTATTTTCTTAAATATATAAGATTAGTCTTCCACAAACATTTATATACATTTTAATTATCAAGTTGAATTAATTTATCAGATTTTTATAATACTAAAAAATGGAAAATATATCTCTATATATAACATATATATATAATAATATTTTATAAACTGAGATTTTAAATTTTTATTTTATTTTAAGTTGCTTTCGCTTGTGGGAGATGAGCCTATATCTGAATCACAGATTGGCAGAGATACCCAAAGAATCTCATGTGGAAAAATTGATAGAGCTGTTCAACTACCAGTTTCAAGTTTAAGTAGGATAATGCTTTTGGCTTCAGATCTTAAAACAGTCAACATTACAGTACAGGTTAAAAGTACTATAACATGCACTAGTGGATTTTCAAGGCTTTCATCACAGAAATGGGAAAGAAAGCAGTCTTGTAAGTCAGTCAGGGCATTATATACCACAATTAATTATTTGCCTGTGTAAAATTTTAGCCTAAATTAGCTAAACAGAATAAAATACCTTTATGACCTCTCCTAAAGTCTTCTACTGGTGACACAATATTTTGTATTTTAACAGTTATGAAGTCAGCATACCACACAGAACAGACTTATAAATACATTTACACTGAGACAAAAGATTAAATAACTTAAAGGCCTAGTTCTCTTCTGCATTATATATCTGCTTGGCTCCACTGACAATTCATCAACTGATAGTGACTGATCAGGTTCAAGATGTTTTCAAGTGCTCAGATGGGCAGACAACACAAGAGTCAAGAGTATGACATAGTGTATATCAGACAAATAAACCTACCAAAGCTTGGCATTTTTATTAGACTCTCATGAAAACAATCATAATGAAATCCATCCAGTGCTTCTGAAGGGTCCAGATTTTTGCAACACCCATGCTAACTCCAAGCCTCTGTGCTCTTTTTGTCTCAAGAAAACAGATGTTGCCCACCCCTCCAGCAAGCCAGTACAAGGTATGCCTAAGCAAAGACAGGCCAGTGCAAAAACTATAACTTCTTTGCTATTATATGAACATGAGTTCATTGAGAAATAAAAATCTCTCTTCCAGTTTCCTTCCAATAGATGGTTCAAAAGTTACCCGTATCATTATCAAACACATGAAGTCACATTCATGTGATACTTGTGGGGCTCCTGATACAAGTCCTGGCTCTGAGAGAACAGCATCATTTTATACCCAAATAAATCAGGGAAGTATTTCTCCCAGTGCTTTTCAGACTATTCCTGCTACACCTCAGGCAAATTACATTCTTTTCAAAAGTAGCTCATAGAATAATTTTTCCAGAAAGCAATCAATAAAATCTCCCCTCATGCCCTTCCATCTCTTTCTGCTTTCCTGAGAAATAAAGCCACCAGCCGCGCTGGCACCTTTGATAGATGACTTAAGTGAATTTTTCTGGACATATTCCCTCTCTCTTAAGCAGACAAGTTGCAAAACTGTTGTTCTGCAGACCCTACCATTGAGATGGGTTCAACCATTCAGTAACCCTGGAAACACACTGACTTCAAACTTGCAGTGAAAGGAAACCAGCCCAGCTGGAAACCTAAAACTGTATGACAAAAGTCACACTGAGTGTTCAGAAAGAGCAAAACAATTTCACCAAAGTTAAGAAGTGTTCTCTCTAAATGAATAATAAAATCTGTATTATTGCTACACAACAAATGCAGATGCAACAAAGCCTCTTCAGGCTTTAGGAAACTACATATATTTTCCTTCCTGAATTTACTAATCATATTATGTATTTTTTAAATACTCTATATTCACATCAATTATTACTCTATCAATTATTTTAAAATAGGCATAGATACATGTACAATAATTTCCTCAGGTGTATGTCAAATTATATAATTCACCTATTTCTAACCATAAGCAGTGATAAAGACTTGTAGTAACAAGAATTTTATCACTGGTTATGGTTAACATATAATTTTGTTCTAAAGCAAGGATATATTTAATTTTTTTCCTACTCCTTAACATAAAATGGCAATGATCTTAATTTAACTTAAAAGTAAAACAAGAGCTAATTCATCTACAAGGAAAGTAACTGTGGTTATGTAAGCCTTGGGATGAAACTTCACTGCAAATGAAACATTTGAAATGAAAATCAGCCTGTTACACTTGCCTTTTTACTGGGCCTAGAAGCAATACAGTTGCAGCTCATCCATTCAATCATTTCTGATTTCCAGAGCTTTTTTTTCCAGAGGGATGTTTAAATGAGATACCTAAATGCATTTTATGCCAAACAGTCCAAGTATTAACAGAACTGACTTTGGCTCTTATACCTAAGAATAATTACAGAAATCATTTCATCTGTCATGTGAAGAACCCAGAATAAAATAAGCTGCCACAAAGCATTGTGTCATGTCACCATACACATGCACACACACATTTTATATATGGAATATTGCAGTTGTTCACTTTCCCTCCTACAGGGATAGAGTCTAAGGTGGTAGCTTTCCTTGGGGAATATGCTATCATTAAATTTCCCATTAGGGCCTTTTCCATGGAGAAGGGTTTTTCCTCTACCACAGATTAAATCATGCTAATTTCAAACTAGAGGCAGTCACATAAAATTGATTTTTAGAAGCTGAAGAGAGGTAAGATGGATGGTGTGAGAGGAAGCAGCAATGTGCATTTTCAGAACCGTGCTTGCATATTCTGTGTTTCAGAAGCCCTTGAGATTTGCATTGCTCTATTTACCTCACTGAAAATTTCAGCTCTTCTAATTCCCACTCTCATCCCCACTGCCAGAACATCACCAACAGCACTAGATTTCTGTGTTGTAAGCAGGACTATGGCTCCTTTTTGAACTTATGCAGCTTAGTGTCATTGTTTCCTAGAACTAATCCAAAAGTATAAATATCAGACACCTGTTATATCTTTGTGTCTGACAGAAAGTAATTTCTCCAAACTGACTTAAGATAATACAAATAATAATAAGTTTTCTCTGACAACAGGAAGAGTCATCCTGAGAGTCCCCCTTCACCTAGTGGAAAATGAAAGCATCATTAGATATCAGAAGACCATCTGAACAAAGATTTGGGACCTTCATTCAAGAGAAGACAAAACTGGGTTTAGGAAATGTCAGACTCTGAGGTTTGAAGCAGTCAGGGGTGCTGTCATTGCTGGGAAGATGCAGAGCGAGCTACTCCTGCTTGTCATGGATAGACTACAGTACATTCCGAGGAAACCAAGTTCTGGGGGGAAGCCAGAGAAGAGGGGTGGCCTCTGCAAGTCTGTGAGACTTTTAGATTTTTCCATCTCAGATAGGATGGCTACACTCATACAAAGAATTGGAAAAAATTCAGTCTTATTAAAGTATTTCTGCATAGTTTAAAATTACCCTCTTTTAACCTAGCTTATATGAATACATCATGCATTTGTGTGTAGATATCCATATTGATTATATACTGGATCTCACAGCTTGAAAAGCTACCATGTGAACTTTGTTCATCAAAAAACTGCAGGTTAGTTATTAGGCAACCATCCATTGCTGTTTAACTGTGGCAGATTTATGCAAGCCAAAGAAGTTTCAAAGCCATCTTCTTAATTCTTCAGGAAGAAAATATATAGCAATTTATTTTTCCCTTGCTTTTAATAAAATTCAAAAGCTAGTAACAGGAAAAAATGACAAATTAACAAAAAAAAAAAAATAAAAGAAAGAAAAAAAGTGTAAAATTCATCTCCTACCTACTAAAGCACACAATGTACCATCTTCCACAGTATCCAAGATGAAAAAAGGTTATTTCTCAAGCATCCAAACACTTAACCATTAATCTCTCCTTCTACCTCTCCAGAACAATCCCAAGCAATTACTTTTTTTTTTTTTTAATTTTCTGAAAAGCTATTCCTCCCTTTCCTTAGGAAAGATGGGAAATTCATATTACCTATTACCACCAACAAGCATGTCTTGCTTTACAGTTGGAATCATAGGACTTCTTCTCTTGTTATGTTTTAGCTTAACAACCCTACAGCCATTAAAAGATTTCACAAACTCTTCAAACTCCACTACATTACATAGAGAAGTGGAAAACCATCAGAATTATGTTGGGGAAAGGTATAGTTATTCATTTATATTCATGGTCCTGTGACTACAGTGGGAATACTGATTAATATGTCAGGATGTACAACTGGTCCCAATAAATAAATCCCTGAGGAATTTCTGGGATTGTCAAGTTCATCAGTAAATATATATATTTACACCTGAAGTCTCTACTTCAGTGTATTTCATACCTGAGTATCATTTTCAGCTCTAAAGAACAGTTATAAACAAGCTGACTGAAGACTTTGCTTTAACTCCACAGGTAAATTTAATCTCCTCCAACATTAGGCAGCAATCAGGCAGCACGTCCTCCCCAGCTCTGAAGGCTCCCATTACAGGCAGTGAGAACAACCTCTGGGCAATGACACAGTGTGCTTGTGACACACTCAGACTGGGGCAGTAACACCTAAAGCAACTCAAAACCTCACAGGTTCTCCTAAGCACTCAGTTCTGACTAGATGCCCAGCTGGTAGGAAAAGGCAATTAGGTGATAAAACTCTCACTTTAAATTAATGTGAAGTCCCTGGGTTAGTGTACCA